TCAGCTGGTTTTGGTTGTCAGCAGCAAACTGGTTGATCCACTCTGAGTAGGTGCTATTTAAGAGACTGAGCTGAATACAGCTCCTCAGACTGAGGAAGTCTCTCGGATGAGAGACGAAACGTTTCTACATTTTTTTGTTGATATGCTTTGTTTTTTTTTTTTTGTTTTTTTTTTTTTAATGTCCAGAGGACCAGATTTAACTTTTTTAGATTTTTCTACCTGTATTATTGAGCATGCATCAGGAAACTTGGGTTTGATTTCAAATGGACTCCATTCAAAGTTGTTTTTTTATGCTCACTCTCCCACGAAATGAACGTTTGTGATTTGGAGATTAAAGAGCTTCAACAGATCCGTCTTCTACCACTTATCAGTCTGGTCACAGAGGCAACAGGAGAGAAGCCCAGACCTCCCTCTCCCCAGTAACATTCTCCAGTGAGTTCTGGTTCTGCAGGGACCTCTTCTCAGTGGGACTTGCCTGGAAAATCTCTAAAGGGAGGTGTCCAGGAGGTACCCTATAATCAGATGCCAGAACCACTTCATCTGTCTCCCTTTGATGTAAAGGAGCAGTGGCTCTACTCCGAGCTCCCCCCGGATCACAGTGCTCATCACCCCATCTCTAAGGCTCAGTCCAGCCACCCTAAGGAAGCCCATTTTGGCTTCTTGTATCTGGGATCTCGTTCTTTTCGGCCATGATCCAAACCTCAAGACCACAGGTGAGGGTCGGAACGTCGACAGACCAGTAAATTAAGAACTTTGCCTTTTGACTCAACTCTTTTTTTCACTATGACAAACTGAAGCAACGCACTCATTACTGAGGACAAGGCCTCAATTTGTTGATCCATCTCCCGCTCCATCCTATCATCACTCATGAACAAGACACCCAGATACTTGAACTCCTCCACCTGAGGCAAAGATTCCCTCTTGATCCAAAGGGGGCATTTCACCCGTTACCGGTCGAGAACCATGACCTCATACTTAGAGGACCTGACTCATTCCAGCTGCTTCACACTCAGCTGTGAACCACCCCAGTGCACGCTGAAGGTCTTGGACCAATGACACCAATGGAACTCAATCATCTGAGCCTCTGAGACGCCCTCCTCTCAGTGACTGCGCCTCGAGATCTTGTCCCTGAAAACCACAAATAGGATCAGAGACAAGGGACAGCCCTCGCATAGTCCAACCTGGTCTTCATCACATTTTTTGTTTAAATCGGCAATTCCTATTTTTTGGAGTGGGTTTTTGCAGAAAGGTTAAGGGCAATTATCTTACAGATAGATCTTTATAGAAACTTGGGAACTGTAAACACTACTCTGGATATTTTTACTAACGTATATTTTTGGCTACATTAGCACCTCTCATCCACACACAAACTGAGTTTTTGGTTGAAAAACAATTGATGTTTTATAAAAGGTTTCCCAAAAGCAAAACTTTAAAAAAGATCCAACAAAGTTAAGTCAGGTCCTCTGGACGGTTTCTTTTTGTTAAACTGTTTCATCTTTCATCCAAAGGACTTCATCAGCCCGAGGAGCCACAACATACTCAGTCCCATAAGTAGCACACTCACATAGTGGGTCGACCAATTTGATGGTAGCATGAACTTTGATGTTTTGAACCAGTTTGTCCATGGCTGCCTCAGATGAGTCGACGGGGGAGAGGGCGGACTCCAGAAACCATCTAATCACCATCAAACTTGTTGGCCCACTATGTGAAGGTGCTACTTATGGGACTGAGTTTTGTTGTGGCTCCTCGGATTGAAGAAGCCCTTTGGATGAAAGATGAAACGTCTCAACACAAAGAAACCATCCAGAGGACCTGACTGAGCTTTGTTGGATGTTTGACCTGGATTATTGAGCATGAACTTTGAAGGGAGTGGTGGCGCAGAGGTTAGAGAAGGTGGGCCTGTGATTAGGAGATCGCCAGTTCAACTCCCGGTAGCGACAACATCAAAAATGTGGGTGGGATAGGTGAAGCACCCACACCTGACTCCACCCTTGTTTGCCCTACTCTAGGCCCTTGAGCAAGGCCCTTAACCCCCACCATCTGCTCCCCTGGGCACCCTAGATGGCAGCTCTGCTCCACACAGAGGGCTGTGGCAGCTCAATGGTCTGTGGTTGTGTCAGGAAGGACATCCGGCGTCAAAATAATTCACATCCGCATCCAGGTGGAATTATATTTCCTGTGACACCTGGGATCCCCCCGACAGCAAAGTCTTTGTGCAACTTACTTCATCCCTGAAGAAGGGAGCAGCCAAAAGAAAATAAAAAATAAAAATTGAGCATGAACTTTGATGAATATGTTTAAAAAACAATGATACAGCAGCCTGTTTTATCCACGGACACTTTACAAACAAATATGGAGCCTTTTTTTTCTGGTTATTCTGAATCTGGGTCACTTTAGTTTGACCCTGTGGCCTTTAAACTTTTATGAATAATAACTGAGAGGAAACTAAATCTGTCTCTCTCAATTTCCC